TCTTATGGGAATGCTTCAAATTTAGTTCATCTAAAAAAATGTATCATTTTGCTTTGCGAGAAAAGTGACTGTATTGGAACTTTTTTGTGTGCAAATTTTGTGAACTAGCCTGTGGAATGAAGTAACATACATTCTTTGCCAAATTTAAAGACTAAAATTTTGAAGAAAAAAAAATTGTGGAATTGAAATATTGAAAATTTACTTTTTAAGATATTTCTGCAATTATTCATAATATTTGAAATGAGTCAGCTGTTTATATTAACATATGTTGTAGATCCATAGCAAATTCGAGGTTTTTAATTTAAAAAATAAAGTGAGTGTCCAAAATAAAGGTGCTTAGGATCTAGGCACCAACCTGTAAAAAGCCTGTTATTTTTTTAAAAGTCAGGTAAAAAAAATGACCAGGAATCTCTTAGAAGAAAAGAATTAACTCCTCTTCCCTCCCAGACATTTATTTGGACCTGAACATTCGGCATTAAGATCTGTTTTGTACCCAATTTTGTGGCTAACCAGCACTTGGGATTTGTGCAAATGTGACTGAGTGGGGTTTTTTCTTTGGCCATTGATGGTCACATTTGTTTTTGTTTTTTTTGTTTACCAGTCTGAATCCTGAGCTGGACATGGGTCAGCTGGAGGGTGGCTTTGTCATGGGCCTGGGACTCTTCCTGTTAGAGGACTTGACCTTTGACCCTAGCACTGGACGTCTTCTCAACGATGGCACTTGGGTAGGTTCTCCTGTCTCAATTTTTTGTGATCATTGTATAGGTTTAACACCCCTTTCAGCACTGTGAGGCGAATTAGTAAGCAAGTCCTCTGAATTTAACATCCATCTCCCTTAGGACAGAGCCAAACAGGTGGAGAGCCTTTTAAAAAATCTTTAAAACAATCCAAATTCAGAATACCGGTACCCTGTTGCTGTTGAGGATTTGAACCAGGGCCCTGCAGTCAAGCATGATGCCATCTGAGCTAAAGTAGGTCTTCATCTGTGAGCAGTGAGGTTTTTCCAGCTGCCACAGGCTTGACACACCACTAGTCTTCCTTTCAGAGATGGAAACGAAACAACTCAGACTGGCAGAATGGCAAGAGACAGAGTGTTGTATTGCAGAAAGGTCTGAGAAACAATCTCCAACTACCGGGAAAAACTAAGAAGAAGAAAAGATGGCAATTGTGTGGGGAACTTTTGTCTGAAGAAGTGACATTGAAATTGTTGCTGATGTATAAAAAGCAGTGCATGTAAACAGGAGGTGTGTTCAGTTTCTGCACAAAAGGTGCTCTATCGAAATTAGCAAGGGTGCTTTTTGAATAGTCTCTTTTGTTCAAATATTGTATTTGCATCAAATTCCAATCCCAACTTTAGGTCGAAATATATTTCTGGTGGGGTTTGAAGCGAATACCTTTTAAGGCACTTCCAAGCTATTATCATCTTATATATCTAATATATTGGATGACGTAATATGTACAATAAGGCAACATTCTGAGCAACCAATTTAAGAATGAAAGACTTATTTCATGATATTGCAGGGGGAGAGTGGAGAAATTATCAACTCTCCAATAGCTTCTAAAGAAGTGAATGTAGACACGTCAAGATCAGCAGGAAAGTTTAGAGTCATTTGCAATAATATTGATCTTAATGTTAAGCACATGGGATATTTGTGAGATGGGCTCATTTCATCAACTGGCCTTTCTTGTCCTGGTAACAGTGCAAATACCCTGTGAAAATCGTGAAATGGTATGGATTTAACGCCTCTATCAACACTATTAGGTTATTTAAGAGGCGGGACCTCGAGTTTAACATCCATCTCCGAAAGAACCAAGCCAAATGGGAATTTCATGTAAAGTGCCTTTCCGAAGTACCCAATGGCGGCTGAGGCTCGAACCACGAACCCGCAACCTCACAATTACGAGTCCAGTTGCCTAACCACTAGACTACCGACGCCCCCTAATTCCCTGTAAATAAATACAGGAATGATGACTGAGCGAATTGTGAGGATGACTTGTGTGGGAGTTATTCGACATGAACTCTTGGTGAGTTCAGAACCATTTACTTTTTTTTTTGTTATTTATCATCATTGGGTTCTTGTCCGTTACAGTTTCCTTTTATATTTATTGTTGGAAATTTTTGTTTTGCATTCTTTTTCCAGTTTTCTTTTATAGAATTTAATACTTTCATGTTTTGAAAATTTCCTGCGTTTGCAAGTGTTTGATAATGTTACTACTACCTCAGACTTACTTTTCCGACTGGGGAAAGACAGCTGAAAATGAGATGAAAACTCAGGGCTTAAAAAATTGAACACATGGTATTTGTCTTAAGTTGGCTGTTACCATCTGATCATTTGATCCGTTTTATTAGATTTCTTCTGTTTGTATCTGTTCCCTTGTTGTATCTATCTAGTTGTCCTGTAGAACTCCCAACTCAAAAACACTCAAAACCAGTTTTCTAAAACATTCCTGTTATTTGATATTACACATTTCATTAATAGTCAAATGCTCAAAAGTTTTTCATTATGAAAATTGACAATAGATTAGAACTACCTTAAAAAATGTATATTTTGATACAATATGCGCTGTATAATAGCATAATTACATTTTGCGGCCTCTTCTATCTTACAATTTGGATTGGAGGAGCAAAAATCTTTCTCTTGTTTATAGTTTTGCGTGTTGCATGGTCATAATCTTTTTGTCTAATGTTTCTCTGACCCTGTCTATCCTTCATTTCTTGGCCTGTTTCTTCCTCTATGTCTGTCTGATCTCTGGTTGTATGTTCTCATTATTATACTGTCTGGTAGTATTCTTGACAGAAGTCCAAACCATTCTATGTGTTGCTCATCTATGTAGCCAACTTCAAACAGGGCATTGAGCAAAGTTGTTTCTCATTCTGTCTCTTCTTGTTATGTTCAAAGTATTTCTTAGGCATCTCATAATAAGCATGAATTTTTTCAGTGTTGGTATGAAGAAGTCTCCTAAAATCCTTTTGCCACACACAAGAGAAATATTTTAATTGTCAAAAGAAGGCACACTGTTTGAACAAAGCCACAGCAATTCATTTTTTGCCCACAGGAGTACAAGATTCCTCTGACCAAAGATCTGCCAATTGTGTTCAACAGCAAGTTTGTGAGGAATGCAGCAAACCCCCTAGGCTTCCTCCGATCAAAAGGTAACAATTAACAATCCCCTCAGTTTCCCCCTTTGATGTGGGGGTTGGAGGGTGCCACTGGTAGGTCCTTCTTCTTTACTTTCCCTCTGTTGTTTGTGTCTGTCTGTCTGTCTTACTTTTCCCCCTGCTCTAAATAACCATTACTGTGGCGATGTGCTTCTCTCCTCAGCAGACTGACTGTTCTGAAGTGGAAACTAACTAACAATTTTTCACAGGGCTAAGCATTGTACAAACTACCTTTGACTTCTACAAGTCACAGCATATAGGCTTATGAATTTTTCTGGATATAAACATATCTGGCACGCCAACAGAGCAGAAATGAATGCCTCATTCATTTATGATCCATATCCAGGTTTTACTCGTCCACTCTCTAATATTCATCTTGCTACCTTCTTTACAGTCTTCCTCTGTATTATTTCCTGTTCTTGGTCTCAATTCAGTGGGTCTTTTGGCCATCTGCTCACCTTCATTCTACTACTGTAAGCAGCCCATTTCCATTTTTTGTCGGAGTAAAACTCTGCTGAGGATATCTGCCCTCTTATAAATGATATTTTGAATAAGTTTAATGCTTTCATATTATAACACTTTTTTTATATACTGGGAAAGAACTTTATGCAATTCAAATTAAATTCCAAGTCAGCCCCAAGCTATTAGTATTAATTTATCTTCCACAATTCTTGATCACTCTACGAAGTCTGTTCCTTTTTGAAGGTTTTCAAGATACTCACATTTACAGCTGACTGTGCGAGACTCATAGTCATACTTTGGTTGTGTCCTTCAGAGGAATCTGTTTCCTTTACTGAAATGTAAAGACTTAACAACTCTCAACAGCAACCTACTGTCTATGACTATTGCAACCGACTTTGGTAAGAAGGAAAGATATTCACTTTGGCAGGTTTTATTAATCAGTGAGCTGATCAGGAGGACTGACTGCAGGAAGGAATGAGGTTCCATATATTCATCCCTGTCTGACACAGGAAGGAGAAGAAAAAGATTGTAGGAAAATGTCTTGGTCTTATGTTCAAAGCAAAATCTTTTCTTTTGAGTTTTTGACAGTTGTAAAATGTATGGACATTCAGGTGTCGGGATGTTATAAACTGGTTATTTGTTTCCCTGTTTTTCATGTCCCCCCCCCCCCCCCTGAAGTGTGTGGTTAGGCTCTATTCCCAAGTGGGGAGAACATTTTCATTGAGTATCTTGGCCTATCGTCTGGGATGTTATAATCCTCTCTCCCCAGGTTCGTCCTGACAGGCAGGATAGAAAGCCTGCATCCTAAATGATCTAAATTGTGTGGATTGGTGTGTAAAACACACCTACATTTAACATCTTTATTTTCCCCTGTGTCCTCAGCTGTGGGAGAAGCCCCTGTGGCCTCGGGCACTGTGGCTGTGATGGCTCTGAAGAGAGCTGTGGAGGCTGCCCGGGCCGAGCTGGGACACCAGGGATGGTTCCTACTGAGTAAGTCACTTCACAACGTGGCAGTTGAAGGTCACAGAGGAAGAAATCGGTGATGTCCAAAATCATAGTCCTGTACTGCAGATCCTCACCATGCAATACAATGATGCCACAAAAAGATGAAACTTTTTTTAATATGATGTTCATAATGGTCAAGTTGAGGATGACGTGTAGTTTGAATAGATTCGCTATTCGTTATTTTGGCTATTATGTGTGGCCTAAGTAAGGTTTGGTGGGGGTGCACGTTATTTAAGTTGTTATATTACAGGCCATGTCATACATGTGGCCTTTTCTTTATATTATTTTTATTTATAAAAACGACTTCCCCCATCTACCTAACTGTTCTCCCAGTTTATCAGTGGCATTCACTGG